CCGACATCTAATAACATATGTGCTTAGCCACTGTGCAACATGATATTCATTATCTCATTTACTTTCCCATATGACCCCATAAAATCTATAAAAATGAAAAATGAGATACAAAAGTTTAAGTGATTTTTCCTAGCCACCAAGCTAGTATACAGAATGTTGGATCTGGATTGGCTGGGTCCTAATCCTATCTCACTGTTTATTTACTATCTCTGATTTAGTTATTTCTCCTGTAAAATGGGAATGATTATTGGATCTCCTCTGTAGGTTTGTTATGAGGATTAGATGGGATAATTCCTATAAAGCACTTAAATATTGCTTGGGTCACAGTGCATACTCAATAAATGTAAGCTTTCCTAGAAGTGTTATTCAGCAGATAGGGTTTGAGCTCAATTCCCTCTAGTTCACATTCTTTTTAGTGACCCTTACTTGGGCAGCTGACGGATGAATTTCACCATATTTGCCTGTGTGTTCCCAGATGCATCCTCTGGGGAAGATGAGGCTGGCAAAATGAGGAAATTTAGTTGAGTATTTTTAAGAACCTACTGTGTGAATGACACTGAGGTTGCCAGCACAGGAGAAACTAAAGAAGCAAAAAAAAAAAAAAAAAGAAGAGAGAGAGATCATTAAATTTAACTCTTATGGGCTAGTAGTTATATGCAAAAGCCTGGACTAGGCACTTGGGGACACACAAAGATAAATGCAACCGATTTTCTGTCCCAAACTGGAAGCCCCTTGGAGAGGCCAACAGATATGTAACTAACTGTAATAGTTGGCTTTAGAAAGGGCTGGTAGAGATTCAGAGGAAGTTCTATGAAAGCCCAGAGGAGGGAGCCCTTTAGGCTGGTGGGGGAGGGGTGTGGTTTGTGGAAAGTGCTCTTAACAGATGATTGAACTGACCCTTGAAGATCCTTGCCCTTGAAGGAGTGATTCTAATCTTGGAGGCAAGACATAAACAGGACACCAAGAACAATACATGATCATATCTAATTGAGTTCCAGATTCTAGGAGACAGATCATGCTTGTCTTAGGAATTCTGCGATGAAAATAAGCCTTCTGGAGTGAAGTAGGTAGGTAGGGCTCAGGCTCCTTCCAGATGAAAGCTAAGAAAAGGCCAGAGGTTTATAAAAATTAGATTGGTGGAAAGGAACATGGGGTGCTCATTTACTGAGCATGTACTACGTGTCATACAGCACACTAATTTAGTCCTCACGACAATTCCATGGTAAGATCACTGAGACGCAGAGAAATTAAGCAACTTGTTGAAGGTCATAGGAACCCAGGTCAGTGTGACTCTGAAACATGTCCTTTGAACTACCCTCAACCATTTGAATCCTTTCCAGTCTTTAGGATTCCATTCAGATGTCACTCTTCTAACTCCAGTAGACCCTTATGCTCTCTCTGGAAAAATACCTTGCTTTTAGTCATTACTGAATAAAATGAATGCTGAACAAGTATATTCTAAGAGTAGAAAAACAGACTAAAAGTAGTTTTTTAGAACAAATATCCCCAGAAACTTAAGAGAGTCCCTGGGGGGTGGGAGGGTGGGAAGAAGGAATTGACCAACTATGGGGTGACTAGATGAGAATTGTTGCCATACTCCAATAACTGTGGGCCTCATTACATTTCAGATTTGGAATGATCTTAGGAATCTTCAACTCTTTCTTGTCTTTTCATTTTGCATCAAAGCAAACCGAAGTCCAAAGATCTCGGACAGGTCAGAATTAGAACTCAAGTCACTTGACTCTCAGGTGATTGCCTTTTTACTACAAACGATGAGAGGGGAGAAAACAAATCTATGAAAGATCAAGTGATGAAATAATAGAGGAATAACAGTATATGATATATTATTATATTACATAAAAATAAGAATGTCATGAGTGGATGAATTATTAGAGTGGGTGATGAACCAGGGTTGATTCATCTAATTGTATTCATTCAATTAAAAACAAATAAATCTATAATGTGTTCATATATAAAAAGAAAGAATGGTTCCCAACGTAGGTGGGACAGAATAACGAATATTTGTTCAATGAATAGATGAGGCTTCACCAATTGCTCCCAATGCATTTAGGGACTGAGGTCCGGGAGCCCAAAGAACTATACCCCTTCCTTTTCCAGCCTACCAGAGGAGAGAAAGGATAACTTTCTCACCCAGATGTTAATTTGTTTGTCTTTAGGAAAATGAAAAGCACTTGGTCCCTGACAACAATGAAAGAATAAATTGTATGCATATAGATAGCATACATTATATATTATATATATATATAATATATTATACCCCAGAGCATATTTTGCCTTCAGAATGAATTTATGAAGTAGATATTCCCATTTTAAAGGTAAGGAAGTGGAGATGTAGACAGATGAAATGACTTACTCAAGGGCATAACACTGATACGTGTTGGAGTGGATACTAGAGAAAACCCTCATGTTTTGACTCCGGGTCTGAGAGTTGATAAAGTCCCCACATATCTAGGAATGTTCAAAACTCTTATAGACTGCTACGTGGAAGCCTTCCCTGAAAGAAATACAGCTCCTGAATGCCTAATTGCCACAACTGAAGTGAATTAGTCATGTTTCAACCCATACTGAGGGAAGGAGGGATATTTTGAATGAGAATTTATGTAGTTCAATATATGTCTTTTTTTATGGAATGGCAACCTCATGACTTTTACAAATGACTTGGAGTTGCAGAAAGTGAAAGACTTGCTTAGGCAACTTCCTTACCCATGGCATGGTACACCCGTGATCCTCTTCTTCCATTCCATCTCTGGAAACACCTTTAGGATATAGAGCCATTTTCATTTTAGAACTGGAGAAACTGAGGTCAAACATTCTTGGCCTAAGCTTATATGGCAAGTTCTTCCCAAACAAGAAAGATCTGAATGTGGGTGCTCCCATTTTCAAAATAGTGCTGTAATCTCTGTATACCACATTCCGACTTTTATAGAGGGGATGTCTGAGTCCTTTGCTCATTCTACAAATCTGCATGCTTTAACCAACACACATTCTCCACTGGTTTTCACTCTCCCGAAGCTTGCAAGGATGATCCCAGCCCTCAGGAAGAATCTGGAGCAGCCCTGAGAACAGGGACACTTGGGGAAGAGGAGTTAATTCTGCTTCAGGCATCCAACATGCTATTCTCATGCAAACCTCACACCACGTATTTTTATCATTACATTATTTGAACAGACTAGTAGCTAATAATTTATAATCCACCACTGCTAACTCATTTTGACTTATTAAACACTTGGGGAAAAAAAAGAACTGTGTTGCCATAAGGGGGAGCTTTTGAGTTCTATTAAGAGGGGGAAAAAAGAAGAAAAAATATATTACATCTATGTTCAAAAACAGATCTACAAAGCAGTAAATGGTCATTTCCTTACTTGTAACTCAAACCGTACCAGAGGACTTGATTTGCTAAGGTTGAAAAAAATAAATAGAATTAATATTTCGCTCTCATTTTTATATAAAACTAATCACTAACAGCCAGCAGAATATCTTTAAGATTATTCAGGAGAATTCAGAGACCCAGTTGTGCAGGATTCTGAGTGGCAAATACCCTGGAAAATGCCTTTACTCTTTTTTCTTGTGATGATTTGATGAGGACTTTGGAGGCAACATTTGGGTTAGCTGGAGCCAGCACTTGGAGGCTCAGGAAGAGGGGACATGTTCCTCATTGCATAACTTTAAAGAAATTCTGAGAAGAAAAAGGAGAAAAGGACAGGGAAGGCAAGAGAGAAGAGAAAGGAGATTGGGAAAGAGGAAGGAGAGAAAGAGAGATGAGGAAGAGGGAGAGAAAGAGAAAGAGAAGGAGAGGGGAAAAGAGAAAGAGGAGAGAGAGAGAAAAAGAGAGAGAAGGAAAGGGAGAGAGTATTAAAAAAAAAAAACAACTGAGACTCAAGTTTCAAGACTCTTTATGTGCTATAGAGAAGGATGAGGTTTACCAGCAAAGTGCAAAGGGGATCCTGAGAGAAGAGAGAGATTTTTCTCCCTCCATCCGGGAGAAAAATAATAATAATAATAAGGGGGGTGGGTGAAGGAGGAAAAAAAGCAAGAAAAGAAAACAAAAACAGGAATGTGTGTTTTGAGCAAGAATGAGGAGAGCTGGGAGGACCGTAAGGGGGTGTGTACAGAATTTCATTAAATTGTTACTTTAAGATTGTCTTCTTAAAAAAAAAAAAAAAAAGGAGGGGGTGGAGAAGCGGGAGCAAAGGAAAGGAGGCAAACGGCAAAGTGGAGGAAGGCTGGGTAGCTCGGCCTCTCCAAACTGATTGATTAGTCATGATCCCCGCAGTTTTAACAGGGACTCATTCAATTGGGAAGGTGGAGCGCTCGGGAGCAGATTAGCATACGCTTGTTTACTCATCTTCGGAGAGATTTTTCCCCCTCATTCCTTTCATTTTGTGTAGAAAGAGGGAGGGGAGGGGTGACGAGGGGGCTGTGGCTTGTGTTATAAAGGACGCAAAAAATAAATTAGAGCATCTTTGGGGGGGAGGGAATTCAGCGGATCAGTGTCTTAAGGGAGTTTTTTTTTTTTAAGAGCGAGAAATCATATAAAATAAATGAAATAAAATAGGAGGAAGGCAACCAGCTGTTAGAGGGGGAAAATAAGGCAGATAAAGGAGCGGGGAGAGAAATTAATTGCCAGCCAGGAGGAGTTGGGTTGTATTTTTCAAAGGTGGGGGAAGTGGAGCACACACCTTGAGGAGGAAAGCGAGAAAGAAAAGAAAAAAGCAAGTGGAAGGGGGGGCTCGCCTAAGAAGGGTGAAGAAGCGAAGAAAGTCGAGGCGCCGAGGCTCCCAAAGCTGGCAGCTCCGGGTGGCGGTGCAGGGGCGAAGGGGGGGCGGGGGGGACCGTCGGACATGCGG